GGCTGTGACCGTGGGTGAGCTGCTGGAGCAGGGGGGTTGGAGGAGATGATCTCCAGAGGTCCCTTCCCACCCCTACACCACACTGGGATTCTGTGAAACCAGAACATTCATCATCTGAGAGTGTGTGTGGATGTGGTAGGGGTTTTTTTTCTTGTCTTTTGTTTGTTGTGACAAATCATCTAGAAATTGTAGAGGAAAGGCCTGGCAGGTTGTCAGACCATTCTCCTCTGGCCAGCACAAAATGATTAAATATCTTCATCCTTTGCATTTTTCAGGATGAGCTTGTGCAGTCATTGATTTGTTTGCTTCAGTTTCTCCTGTGAGTGTCTCTCTGCTCAGGATTCCTGCAGCTCCTCAGCCTGGGCTGGTTGCCAACTGACTTCATCCTCCAATTTCAAGATGAGAAAAGATGCTGCCTGGTTTATCAGGGCAACCTCCCCACCAGGAAGGTGATTCAGTGAGGTGATTTAGTGCATGGACCTACTCTTTGCAACCAAACCAAAAAGAAGTTTCTCCTCCTGCTCAGGTGGCACCTCCTGGGTTCCAGTTGGTGCCTGTTGCCCCTTGTCCTGTCCCAGGGCACCACTGACCAGAGTCTGGCCCCAGCCTCTTGAACTCTACTCTTTAAATATTTTTATTTATTTCCTAACTGAACTTTCTGAAACAAACAAAGTTAAAACTGGTTCACAGGCCCCTTTGAAGCACTGAGAGGACCCCAGCAGGTCTCCCCAGCTGGAGCCTTCTCCTCTCAGCTGCCCCAGCCCAACTCTCTCCTGCTGGGCTCCCAGCAGAGGGGTTCCCCCCTTGGGGCATTGCTGGGGCTCCTCTGGCCCTGCTCCAGCAGCTCCCTGGCTCCTAACTCCTTCCCTACAGAAGAGATGCATTTAAAATCTAGAAGTCAGTGCTGTTATCACCATACCATAATATTGAGAGTCTTGATCAGCAACAAATCCAAAGGAAAGAAGCAAAAGTCCAATTTTGTCATAGGGTGACTTCCAAGTGCTCAGTGAATGCTCTTAGGGCAGAAGGTTCCTGCATTTTCCAGGGTGAAAACTGAGAGGTGGGTGCCAAGGTCTCAGTTTCTGTGAGACCAGACTTTGCTCCACACTTTATGTCTGAACTCTGCCACCACACAAGGGTGTTTTAAGGACATCACCAAGCTTGACACGTGCAGGACACCCCTGCAGGAATAATTCCAGCTTTGTTCTCAAAAGGAATGTCCACAAGGCAATTTTCATATCAGAGATTTACTGTGCCCACATAGCTTGGGAAATTGAACCTGTGAGGGCAACTTGCTTTTAAATGGAAAGACTTTTTGGTGCCTTTTTGTTCCCTCTGTGCTTTTAGGAGGAGAAAAAAAACCTCCTCACTTTACACAGTTTGTTTATCACCAAACTAGGAGATGCCAGAAATTGTAGAAATCCCAAATTAAATCTTAGCACAGCCCAAAATTTTGCTACAACACACCAGGAAAGGGAGAAGTTTTCAGTCAAATAACCTTGGTTGCTGCACTGTGTGATTTTACCCAGAAGATTTGAGTGGATTTTGTGCTGCCTGCCCAGTTCTGTAGGTATCAGAATTCCCTCTGGCCTAGAATCTGATCTGGAGATGAGTCTCATTTCTGTTCTCCACCCTCAGATCAAGGGAGAACCAGAATGTCATCCCCAAAAAAGGGCTGTGCCAGGCTGCCCAGGGCAGTGGTGGAGTCCCCACCCCTGGAGGGGTTTCCAAGCCCTGGAGATGTGGGGTGAGGGACACGGGGCAGTGGGGACTTGGGTTAACATTTGGACTTCATGATCTGAAAGGTCTTTTCCACCCAAAGTTAATTCTAGGAGTTGTTCAGGGCCAAACCTGGTTCAGACTGAGCACCCCATGCTGGGAATGGAGGGAAACTGAACTCTGCAGAGTAGTCCTGCTCTCCTGTTCTCTGAGAATAAGACACAAGATGGTTTCTAACACGTCTCAGGACTGATGGTTTGAAACATTCCCAGAGGTTAAACCACTCCCTCAGCTCCCAGCATGCCTGGATGGATGATTTTCTGACAATAAGATGCTCTGAGTTCCACCAGAACATGAAAACCACCCGTTGTCATTTGTCATTCAATATTTTACTCAGTATTTTAACTGCAAAATCCAAGTGTCACGAGTTTGGTACTAAGAAAGGAAAAAAGAAATCCCAACAATACCTTTTGTGTCCTTTGTTTCTTCTTCCTGGAACCTGTGGTAGAGATTCCTGACTGGGGCACTCATAGATTTCAAAGGCTGATGCAGGATCTTGTATTTGCTCTGCAAGGCTTTGTTCAGGTCTTGGACAACAGTGTTGATCTGCTCGTATGTCAAACGACCTTTCATGTAGCTACAGGGAAAACCAGAAACAGGCAGAAAGTCACAAAGTTCTGTCTCTGTTTTTCTCTTTCATCAGCTTTCCTCCAGCACATCACTCCTAGTTAAAGGCAGTTTTTTAGTGCTTTTTGTTAATGACTAAACATAGAAGTTGATTTTGTTCATTTTCTTGCTTGTTTCATCATCTGGAAGGCAAAAAAAAATCCACGATCAAACCAAAAGCAAGAAGATGAAACATCAAAAAGGTAAATTAAGAAGTGGAAAAAGTGTTTGAGCTGGGAGGAGCTGTTTAGAATGGAACAGAGGTTGCTTCTGTAGCTTGTCACCAAAAAAAACACCAAGCAGATTGGCAGGAAATGTACCATGAGGCAAAACTAACCCAAAATGTCTCTGCCTCAGAGCAAGACTTGGTTTGTGTGATCATCAGAAATAACCTGTGGATGATCTCACAGGCATTTTTGGAGGAAACAGCAATTTTGTGCTGTTTTCTCTATTTTCTTGTGCTGTACAGACACAGTTCTGCACCACCAACACCTGCTTTGGAACCTGCCAAGTGTTTCATGGAACAAAAATAGGAGGATGTGCTGGAAGAGCAGGAAGCACAGGAGAGAAAACCAAAGGGGAACTATCAGAAAATGGGAATATTTCCAATATATCCAGGATTTAGAGATATAAAGGGATGTATTCAAGGAAACATGTGATAAACTGAGAAACCATTCTATCAAACTGAAATCTGAACCTCTGAGGACAAGCAATAAGATAAATCCAACCCAAAAACTCAGCCAAGGTCACAGTGGAACCAGGGCAAGCTTGGGACTGGAATGATCCTGTGCCACCCATCTGATGACAACAAACCCAACCTGGCTCCTTGGTTCAGC